TCTTGGAGGAGAGACAAAACGTTTCACTAAAGAAGAACCCATCCAGAGGACCTACTTGTTTTATCTTTTTGATTACTTTAAATACCCGTAATAAAAAAAATAAGCTCAAATCTGTACAGGAACGACAAAATAAATAAAATAAAAAAAATTCAGGACCTCTTTGGAGAACAGATGAATTTCAGGTGCAGCTCCCTAAAAGGGAGTTCAGCAGGAGGTTGATTTGTGTTGGATTTGTCAGTCCAGGATATAAACTGATCTTATTAAACTTCACTGAGCACAGAGTCCTAAAATCTGTTGTTCTGGTGAAACAGCAGCTTCTGCAGCTGTAAAACATTCGGATCTGTGCAAAGATCAGTTCAATCACAGCAATAAAACAAAAACAGCTCCACTATAAAATCCCACCGGTTCACTCATTCGGTCTTTTACGGTTTCATTTTCTCGTTAGCAGCATCTGCCTTTATTTTATCTCCAACAAACAAAGCTCAGAGATGTAATTAGAATCCACAAAAAAAACACTTTTAATACTTCAAAAATAAAAAAGACACTATATGCTCTTAAACAACTGAGCTGAAGATACTTTAGACACCGTGAAACATCTTCACCGCGGCCCCTCGTCCTCCAGACTCAGGATAAAATCAAACTGTTCTGCAAAGACAAAAATAAAATTCAATAAATAAAAGTCCAACGTTCCTTAAAGGAATACAGTCAACACATAAGTAGTTTTTAAAAAAAGTGAACAACTATGATAGAGTCGACCATTTCCTGAAACACACCGGAGGTCAGGGGCTGAACGGAGAGCCTGGCTCGGGTAAACAAGGCCACGTCCTTTAAAGGCCCGCCGTCGCTGCGATGCTGCAGGTAGTGTTCCTTCAGCTCCGACAGAGGAAGAAAACGCTTCATCATTCTTTGAAACCTTACATCGACCTGAGAGGGCAGCGTGAGGTCAGTGKTCAGTGATGCTTCATAAACGGAGCGTGTTTTTTGTTTTCGTTTACCATGCTCCACTTGGGGTTGTCCGCTTTGCTGGTTGCGTCATAGTGGACGTCCTTCCTGTCGAACTGGGTGTGGTCCACGTAGGCTTCCTTCACGATCTAATCGGAGACACGCAGCTGAARCCTGCCCAGATTTAGATCTCGACAAGAGAAGAGAAACTCACGGTCATGATCCCTGCGATGCCCGGCTCTTTGCAGTTGCTGTGATAAAAGAAGGCCAGCTGCCCCGCCTTCATCTGCCGAAGGAAATTACGGGCCTGCAGACGCACAAGGAAGCAAAGCATGATGATGTGTTTATTTTTTTTAAAAAAATGAAACACTTTTTTTGTGGACCTGATAGTTGCGGACTCCGTCCCAGCAGCCSGTCTGATCGGGCAGAGCCTTCAGGTCCTCAATGCCGAACTGCAGAACGAAGCGAGCCAATCAGACGGCAGCTGTCAGGTTTACATCAGCCGAAGCAGCTGCTCCCTACCTTCACATCAACCCCGTTCTCAAAGCGGCTCTCGGGCTCTGACTTCATCAACCAGTGGCTGTACACCGGAGGACCGGCCGACTCAGAACCATCAGAACCTGCAGCTGTAGAGGTTCTGCTCAGGTCATCGTGTTTGACTGAATTCACGCAGAACGTGTCAGAAAACACGATCAGTTCTTAGCTTTTTACTCTGTGATTATTTCTGCTCACCTGAACTTTCTGCTCCTTTATTCACTCGGGCTCTTTTCTTTGGAGGCATCTTTCACAATCTGTAAAGATCAAGAAAAAAWAAAATCAACATGTGACAGGACTTAACGCTGAGTCAGCTTTCGCACTGTTGTTTTCCTGTCAGCAGTTTCTGTCTTTCAAACTACTTCAACAAACTCTCTGTTATCAGTTCCATCAATAATGGTGTGCTATGATGTTTGCTTTTTRTAACTTTTCTACTTTTTAAAACATTTAAATTTGTTTAAAATAAAATTCCCAATAGAAATAATTATCTCTCACTTTCTTCTATTTTAGTTCAGCATCTTCTGCATACCTGCACTAATTTTGACTCCCTGTATTTAAATAGCTTGAATAACTTAGCTTCTAGCTTGTTAATTTTAGCTTTTAGCTGCTGCTTTGCACATTTTAGCYGTTGGCTAGTTTTAAAAGTTTTAGCTTCTGTTTTAGCTTTTGATCTGTTGTTTGGATTTATCCCTTAGTTTTACCTTAATAGCTCTTCCATGTAAAAAAAAAAAAATCTGTCGCCCTAAGTTGCTAACATGGTTTTCTCTTGTAAATAACTCCTMTGTAGGTCAAAGCAACTGTACCAACAGAAGCAGAAACTATAAACAACATAAGGCGTCACGTGAATACCTTAGCTTTTTTTCAGGAACCATTAACTCCCGCGAAAATCCTGCAGCACGTGATGCCAACAAGGTGCGCTCAGCGGCTTCTGCCGAAAACTAGCTAGCTATTGACGCATTCGAWGTCAACTAGGAAGTCAGTAATTTCAATTAAACATAATTTCTAGTAAATCATTATTACAATGTATGGAACTATAAGTTACTAATTACATTATTATATGGAGTTGAGGCTCTTATTGTTTTTATTTTACCACGCAATAAGTCGAAAAATGATGTGACTTTGATTATATGGCTATATACTTATACGACGCTTTTAATTCCGAGGGGACTCAAATGCAACATAACCTCATTGGATGCGCCTCGCTAAACACGGTTTTGAGAAGGGGGTTTTTCAAGATGTTTGGTTTGTTGACAAACAACAACTGTGTTTATAAAGTAATAACCAATTAGGGCAGTAAATTCTTTTCGATTTTGTGAATGGTAAGGGTATGACAACTCCTAGGCAGCTGAGCCGAAGGATTTGAGGCAGGACATACTAYAACTACATTACCCATCAGCCCCAGCGACCGAGTCGTCACAGTGAAGACAAACATGGCGGTTGTCGGACCTCTATCAAGAATCGCCCGGCTTGGCCGCAACATCTGTCAGAACCACCGGTTAATATTTAACAAAATCTCACAGAGACGAGGAATAGCTTCGTGTATCGACCGTAAGTTTCAGATAATGAGAATTATGAGGGTGAAAATACAAGAGAGAAAATCTGAATCTGTGACACCTGTAACTTTGTTAGCCTTTTAGCTAATCTTCAGTTTTCTGCAGCACCTTGCACATGATACTGTAACACGTTTTGGATCAAATAAAAAGCATTGTGCACACATTCAGCGCTCTTTTAAGCTGCCATTGTTTAGTTAATTGCTCCTACTCTCATGTTCTAGAAAGTCCCAAGCCTTCACACAGCCTATTAAATGCCTATTATATATATTTATATATATTATATGCCTATTATAGCCTATGACTTAGGTTTGGCATTTGTGAATTATTTTCCTCATGTTKTTAATTGTTACAAAGAAAGTTCCAGTAATGTAAACTCATATTTAGATGCTACCATCGTCGGTGGTCCCAAACTGTTCACAGACAATAAGACACTTGATTTCTGTGCACTGACCTGTCTCTGCTCTGTGCTGACAGCTTCTCATGGACTCTCAGATGAACAGAAGGAATTTCAAAAAGTGGCCTTTGACTTTGCAGCCAATGAAATGTCTCCACACATGGCAGAGTGGGACCAAAAGGTACGATGTCTTCATGAAGAAAAAGGCGACCAAGGAGTCATTTTTGTAAATTTGTTACATAGTTAATGTCTATCCTGGAAATATTTTTAAACTCCTGTCCTGAGACGGGATGTATTAAAGATATGCAGTTCAGCCACATCCACTGAAGAAATCCCTTTTTTATTATTACTTTCAAAACTATCTTCTAGTTCGTTGTCATTATGAAGAAGATGCACTTAATGTTGAGCCAGTTTTTACCATTTTCCTTGCAGGAAGTCTTCCCGGTGGAGACGATGAGGAAAGCGGCTCAACTGGGTTTCGGTGGGATCTACGTTCAGCCAGATGTCGGAGGATCGGGCCTTTCTCGGCTCGACACGTCGATCATCTTTGAAGCTCTGTCCACAGGATGTGCCAGCACCACGGCCTACATAAGCATCCACAAGTACGGACCTTTCCTGTGGCAGGCTTGGGATGTATTGTTTGTAAGATTTTTAATGGCTGTTTGTGGGATTAAATGTAATTAAGTATTTTCTTTGCAGCATGTGCGCCTGGATGATTGACACTTTCGGCAATGTCGATCAGAGGGAGAAGTTCTGTCCTGATCTCTGTTCGATGGAGAAGTTTGCTTCTTATTGTCTCACTGAACCAGGTCAGTCTTTGTGTTTAAGGGTTACRCAATCATAGGAAAGCAAGACAGAGAACATGTAAATTGTGTGTTTTGTAGGCAGTGGCAGTGATGCGGCTTCACTCCTGACTTCTGCACAGAAAAAAGGTGACCATTACATCTTAAATGGCTCGAAGGTAAGTTTAATCAGGCAGTTCTTTATGTTGCTTTTGCTCTGCCTTTACTCAGCATTATTAAACTGTCACTTCCTGACTCTTTAGGCCTTCATCAGTGGAGGAGGAGACACAGACGTGTACGTGGTGATGTGCAGAACCGGAGGTAAAGGACCGAAGGGCATCTCGTGTCTGGTGGTGGAGAAGGGAACGCCAGGCCTCAGTTTTGGCAAAAAAGAAAAGAAGGTGCAGCTCTCGGGATATTTAAACCCGCCACTAGATGGCAGCACTATGCCACAAACACTCCCCTCTCTGGTCTCCAGGTGGGCTGGAACTCTCAGCCTACCAGGGCGGTGATATTCGAGGACTGCGCGGTTCCTGTCGCCAACCGTCTCGGCGAGGAAGGGCAGGGCTTCAGCATCGCCATGAAGGGCCTGAACGGAGGCAGGATCAACATCGGTGAGCTGGAGACTGTTTCTCCAAGACCTGTCAGCCGTTTATCAACTGATGACACACAAAGAAAGAAGCTGAAGTGACATATTGATCATTTAAGCTCCTGTATTTAACGTAAGTCTGTACAGGAAGATAAACTGTCTGATGATGGACAGYTGTGCAGGTATTTGTTTTTCAGCCGATGCGTTTTAGATGTTTTCCTCTTTTGTAACAGTTTAAAACCAGTTTCCAACAAGTCACTTTACAAATAAGACAGAAGCTTCTGGTGCWCAAGTTTCCCTTCACACCTGGGAACTCATGCGTAAAGGATTGYGCAGCTTTCACACTAAAAGTATACGTACGGACAAATTTAGAAATGTGCGCCGCGCCAAAAAATTCAGACGTATAAATCCATGCACACGCAGGTTCCTGCGCACCTTTCCTTTATACATCCCAATGAACGTGGAACTKAGCGCACGTAAGACACCTCCCCTGACACGCCTCCATTTAAATATGTAAAATAGATGTAAATGTGTCCAGCRTGTGAGATTCTCCTCAGATTGTCCTCTCTGTGGGATCAGAAATGATTTTTAGATGCAGGAAAATTATACATTAAACGGAGAATGAGTGAGAAAACTGTCTAAATAAGTGGAGTGTCATTGTTTTATGTGGCACATTCACACGGGATAACCAAAGCCTGAGATTTTCCTGAAATTTACAGACATCTCCCGAATGTGATGTTGAAGTCTGGTTATCGTTTTCTATTTAGTTGAACACGGCGTTGAACGGACGTTAAAATAAATAAAACATCCCGTTATCCACTTTCTCCTCTCTCCTTTCCTCTTGCGTTACAGCAGGCGCCGTCTTCTCCACGGACAGACCCCCACCCCACCCCCACCCGCGAGTACGAGTGGTAGCTTACGGATTTTTAGTAAAAAATATAGATTTTTGAGGCTCATTAGACAGGTAAACGTCCAAAGGAGTTGACACATATGAACACCTTCCCAGCTGGCGAGGGTGCACACCTGGCGCGAGAATCTACCCAAAGCGCAGCTGCTGCGCTCCGGCCACAACTCAGCTCAGCATCAGCCAGAAGGTTACACACAGAAAAAACAATTATTCTTACCGTACAGTGAGCCACCATTTGCATCCCATTTTCTCCCTCTCTTCAGCCTTTTTTTAAAATTTATTTTTTTTATGCCGCACGTAATGTGTCGGGTTTTCCCGGCCCGCGGGACCCAAAAGGTTTTCAACTATGTGACAAAAAGATAAAAACAGTTTACAGACTGGGCTGAGGTTCTTTTGATCTTTTTTAGACTGATCTAGTTTCTTGTCTGAGGTTAAATGATTTTCAGCCCCGGGGTTCAGTTTCATCATCGTTTGAGTTTAAACAATAAAAACTCAAACTAAAAAAAAATCTGACACCGTGTTCAGACACGCCTTACATCCAGAAAACACAACAAAGTCATATTTCTGTGGATTCAGGTCAGATTTGTGACTTTGTGGGTTAAAACTGTCGACTGAAAAACTTTGCGTGGYTGCTGCACATTCTCACGGCAGGTGAAAAGTGTGCGTAAATATGCGCACACTTTCACACAACGTTGGTTTTAATACATCCCAACGTGGGCGTARAACCTGGCGCACACATTTTTTTGTATGTGCACGCACTGTTTATACACGAGGCTCCTGGAGTATTTTATTTGCAGCTGTGTGYTAAYTTGACTGAGCCTCGCTCTGATGTTTGATGGGTTTTCCTTCCACCTGTCTGCCTTCAGCTTCCTGCTCGCTGGGCGCGGCCCACGCCTGCGTGCTGCTCGCCAGGGACCACCTGCTGGTGCGCAAACAGTTTGGAGAGACGCTCGCCAACAGCCAGGTCGGTCGCTTGCTTTTTAGACCGTTTTTTCAGAATATCCAGTGTTTTTGATCAAAAATCTTGTTTTTTTTTTTTTTGTTTCCTGCGTGTAGTTTCTTCAGTTCAAACTGGCAGAAATGGCCACAAAGTTGGTCACTTCTCGTCTTCTAGTGCGTGACGCTGCGACGGCGTTGCAGCAGAACCGGTCCGACGCCGTCACGCTCTGCTCCATGGCCAAACTGTTCGCCACAGACGAGTGCTTTAATGTGAGTTATTAATTTAAAAATAATAAATGTTTTATTCCATTTGTTACTCTGTTGTTGTTTTTGTATTCGGAACGTATAAAACACCCACATCCTGCATAAACTATTATTACTTGTTTTTAAACAGATCTGTAACCAGGCTCTCCAGATGCACGGAGGCTACGGTTACCTGAAAGACTACGCAGTGCAGCAGTTTGTGCGGGACATCAGAGTCCATCAGATCCTCGAGGGCAAGTTTCTTTCTTTTTTTTCTTTTTTTTACCACTCGTTTCTGTTCATGTTTAACCCGTTTCCTAGTTTGACCCTTTTTGCTCTTCCCAAAGGAACCAATGAGGTGATGAGGATGATTATTTCCCGAAATCTGCTGACGGAGTCGTGATCTTCAGACCTGCTCCTAAACTGTCTGCAGTTTTTGTCATCTAAACGTATCAGTTTGGGGACGATCAAACTGTTGTGCAGCGTTGACTCAGCTGACTGTTGTGACACTAATCAGTGCAATATCTTTGTAATACCTGCAACATTTTCAACAATAAAGTATAGATTGTAGCTCAAAGGACTGAATCAGCTTTATGACTCAGCATTTCAAAGCAACAATCAGCTCAAAAGCACAAGAAACTTAAAAAGTTTCTAGATATTAAACAGTTCAGAGCAGGATTTTCTGTATTTTTGTTCTCCACACAACTTATCAGATTTTGCTCAAATGTGTCAGAGAATCTGAATTATGTCCCGTCCACATATTCCTTTTAAAGAATTACTTCCCAAATGTTCATCCTTGACAATACATGTTTGTAAGTTTTGTTTTAATTTCAACAGCTCTTCACCCACGTGTCTCTTTACCATTTCTTACAAGTGATTATTTTACCCTGATTTATAGTTTATTTTTCAGGTTTGCTGCCCTTCAAAATAAAACACATCAGCGTTCCTAAAAAATGTCTTTTCCTGCTGCTTGATTTCCACTCAGACTTTTCTGTTCAAGTTCAAAACAAAGTCTTAAGTAAGGGAATGATTTCGAACACTTCAGAACAATTTATTAAAAAAAAAAAAAACAACAAAATCTCCTTTAACCCGAAACGTCGCTTTTCCTTAACAAATCAGAGCCACATTATTTTCAGAGCTCTGTATCTTTTACAGTCAGTAATAATTTTGCCTCACGTTTTGCAGTAAATTTAAACTGAGCACCTTAACAGCGTTACACTCAATATTCAGTTTACATTCAAGCTACTGGAACAGATCAAATGTTCTTTACATGAGCGCTCAGTTCACAGGAATGACATCGTATTGTTGCAAAAGTCTGAACCCCTCTTGTTGAACTCCCTGTGAAGGAAAGYGAAATGCGTGAAGCTGTACCCGAATTGTCAGATTTTGCTCAGAACCTAACGCAGTCAGCCAGTAGAAGTGACTGAAAACTAATCTCAGGCGGATAAAGTCCAACAAAAATAACGTGAAAATCTTCTGAAAAAAGGTAACAAAATATATACGTATATCCCACAGATCGCAATAACTCTCGAGTAACAAACTGATGTGAAGACAAACTGCTGCTTGGAAAGTTTCAAAGGGTTTATGAAACGTTAATATCTTACCTGTTGTAGATAGCTCTTTGAATGAGCTCAGTTTGGAAAACTGAAGTTGAAATCTGACCACACTGACGAGCCAAAGGCTAGTCTGAGCAAGGACAGGCTCAAAGTGGATTGCTTCCATCTCAAAACAAMTTTAAGCACTATTAAATCGTAAAGGGGAATAAAAAAATCTTACACAAACTGTATACAAAAAAAAAATACTAAGTTGGCAACCAGGTGGAGCCGTACTCCTCCTCATCTCATGTTTAGGGGTGTAAATCAGCAGCTTTATCACAATACAGTATATCGATTTGCTGGGATGACGTAGGGCTGCGCAGTATATGCGGCAGACGGTAGAAATGGTATGAATTTGTCCTACGGTAGAAATTTACCCTCTACTGTCCTTTCGTCATTACGTCATTGCAAAAAAAAAGGCCTAAAAATTACATTACCTTTACTTTTTATGATATTTTTTTCTACCGCGATATATACCGTTACCGTGAAGGGATTCAATTTATACCATGATATGAATTTGAGGTCATACCTCCCAGCCCGAGGATGACGATATATTTCTCTTTCACAAAGTCTGTGAAAGAGAAATCAATGCTTTTGTTTTGGCTTTTTGTGTGAATCAATCTTTTAATAAAATTTCTTTTGCAAGTTTTCTTCATATCACGCAGTCTTTTAATGTTTGAGTCCCATCGCTCTGTTATTCAAGTAGAAATATAACATTCCTGAWGGACGTGCCCCAGTCTGCATCGAAAGTGCTACAGCTAGCTGCTGCTGCAGTTTTCACTTACAAATAACCACAGAATTGAACAAATTGTCTGACATGAAACTGACAATGAAAAGATCTATAAAATTTCACTTGTGTAAACCTATTGAAGGTCCAAAAGGCTATCTACTGCAGGTAAGATATTTATTGCTAAACTGTCCAGGGTCTCACTGAACTATCCTTTTTAATTTTGAAATCTAGACCAACTGTTTTAAGCAAATAAAAATATGTTTATTCTTTGCAGCAAACCAAAATATAGGAGCAGAAAAGGAAGTGAACTCTTCAACGTGTTGATTTTTGTTTTGAAACAAACCGAAGGGACGGTTTGTTTAAACGAAGCCACTTGCGAGACGTTTTCAGGCGGTCTCTCGGGTCTTTTGAGCACCGTCCACCTCGATCAGTCTTCTCTCCGGTTGTCCATCAGAGGCGTCCCCGCCGGCTACACCAGCGAGCCGGCTTGGCTCTGAACAGGCACCATCACAGCAACCGCTCCCATGCGTGTCAGAGTGGAGGAGCTGACCTGCGGGGATGCAGGAAGTGGAGGGGCCACCTGAGGCTGAGCCCCCTCTGTCCTTAAGCCCGCCGCGGGGCTTCTGAGGACCTGCGGGGGAGCCCCGTTCGTACTGGGAGGCCTCTTGTGTTTCCGCGTCGGAGTGCCTCCCATGTTGTACCCGGGAAGMCCCTGCAAGCTGTTGGCCTCTCCGGGTCGCAGGTGGTAGGCGTTGATCACGGAGCCCGTGTCCGACGCCAACATGGGGGAGTACGGGTACTGGAAGCTGGCTTGATGGGGGTCTCGGGAGCGAGGGCTGGTGGCGATGGAGGACAACGTGCCATTTTTGGACACGTTGTCCGAGCCGGTGTTGCTCTTCGCCCACGACACTCGCTTTGGTGCCTGAGCATCCTCCCTGTGGAGGGAAGAGGAGGATCATCATCATCATCATCACATGCTGCCAATCAGATGGCTTCTTCAGAGGAGGTTTACTGTATTTCCTTAGACAAACCACATCCTGCTCTTACTTGATCTCATTGGCCAGTTCCTCCTCCGTGTCCCGCCTCCTCCTAAGTATGAATATGAGGAGRAGCACCATGGCCACCAGTCCCACCACCGATCCCAGAGTCGCTGCGGCGATCACGCCCGCATTTGTAGCTGTTCAAACACAACACAAGCAGCGTTCAGACCCAGGTGAATTGTGGGTAACGGCGTACCTGCAGAGCTTGTGAACGTACAGGTGAGGACCTCCAGGTTGATGGAGCAGCTGTCGGAGCCGGCCGTGTTGCTGGCCCGGCAGATGTACTTCCCCGACATGCTTTTGGTGAGGTTGCTCAGCCTGAGGGTGCCGTGTCTCTCGTCTGCAACGCGAGCTCACGGTTAGGAAAAATACGACAACACACAAGCACCGGTGCACAAGTTAAGACAATCATAGGAACTAAACTGGAACAGCACAAAATGACAACTACTGGAGCCGGGAGCGTGCTTGTGYTTTGTTGCACAATCTGTTCTTTTTCAGCACACGTGGATCAGATATTCTGCTGCGAACATGGACTGCAGAGAAACATCAAATAAACAAGCTTCATGAGGGACTTATCACAGCAAATCCTCTGAAATCCAATCTTCGACGTCACACCGCAGCATGTCTTCATCTCGTGCGGGTTTTGTGTTTTTCTGTGGCAACATGAATAAATGACGTGTTTTTGTTTTGGTGAAATTCTCCACCATAATGGAAACTAAGGTAGCTGAGTTACATACGTCTACATACACGGTACTTCCTAAAAATGTTTTACATTTCTGTAATCTTTGTGGTTTGGAGCAACAGTTTTCCATGCTTCATAAAGATCTTTCAAGATTCATTTCAGCTCTTGTATCCAACTATGACATCATCCTGTGCTTAAAAAAAATGAGTAACAAAATAGTGGCAAACAAACAAGCTTCATTTTGAGCTATTAAGAGTTAAAAACAGAAATATTTGTTTCATTTAAAATGACAAAAACTAAACTTCAACCTAATGTCTACAACTGCACCAGATCGTGTCCTATCCCCACTTCATCCTAACTGGGATAAACTGTCTGACCTTGTGTTGAAAAAGATTACTGGTTCTTTCAAAGTTCAATAAGATCATACCTACTTTTCTTCATTGTTATTCTTGAATTATGTCAGAGATTAAAAATAAATAAATAAATAATACCAGCAAATCCTGAAGAAGAGCGTTTGTGCATGAGTGTGCAATGCTCCTGTTCCTCTCTGATTGTTTAATCCTCCCGAGTTGAAAACCAGCTGTGACAGTTCTGACAGATTAGCAGAAAAGTCAGCGGATTCTGATCTCGGAGCGAGCTCSAGCCCGATCGGATCACAGCGGTGTCAGAGCGGCAGGAGATCTAACGTTAACAGAAGGCGTTACCTTCGTGTCAAGACAGCGGGACTGTGTTTCACTGTCGTCGATGCATTTGTCAAAGCCACGACGGTTCGTGGTAATTAGCAGATTTTCGACACACCTGAAGGCATTCGTGGAAACATATGTTTGTACAGAACGCAACAAAAACAGCACAAAACCAACGTGACCGTATTTGGAGCAGACTGTGAGCTGATTTCAAGTAACAAAAACACTTRGTTTCACACTTTTCAGGTATTTGAGCTACAGAAGCTCTTCTATAGAATCAGGCAGCATGCCCCCTCACACAAACGAGCTCAATGACCACTTCTTATCACTTTGGTTCCTGCTACCACCGTAAGTTCACACCAGGATTCCTTTAGGAGTAGTTGATGCTACAGTATATGCTTCAGACTGAAAAAGACAGCGTCACTGGTTCCTTCATGTTTTTCTAACAGTCACTGGTGTTCAGTCTTTGTATGTAAGAATGTATTTCAACAATGAGTTGAAAAACACCCAACCTCCAATTTGAAACGTTCAGAGAACAGTCTGCAGTGTGACGTCATGTTTACCACTGGGCGATAACTTTTTCCTTCCACTTTATTTAAGGGGCACTAACTAGATTTCAACTGACAAGATTTTAATGTGAGATTTTTTATTTATTTTTTTGCTGTTTGGACAAAGCTAGCTGAAGACTTTTTAATGCCAAGTGAAATTAAATTTAAGATCTATTTCATAACAAACACAAATGACAAAAAAATAAAAACTGTGGCAGAAACTCATGAATCAAAGTATTTTTGGTTGAAGTATTCAAATATTGCTAATAGACCACTTGTTTTTATCCATATCTAACTATAACAGAAACATTCTTAGCAGTCAGTTTTAAACTTAATTTAATTTCTGGAAATCCTCTAATGACCCAAGATTTGGAGTTTCAGGACCCACAGTGGGGTCTCAACCCACATTTGCTGTAGATGAAACCTTAAAAGTGCCTGTGAAATCAAGTTTTTGTAAGAAATATGAATGTGTTTTTGGAATAACAACATTATTAACATATTACAAAACATATTTCACATTGCTCAGATGGACAGTTTGCATGTGAAATAACAGGAAGTGATGTCAAAGGGGAATGTCTGCATGTGAATATTCAAAAAAATAAATAAATGTCATCAAGTTTTTGTAAGAAAAGTGAATGCATTTTTGGAATATCAACATTATTAACATATTACAAAACAAATTTCACATTGCTCAGATGGACAGTTTGCATGTGAAATAACAGGAAGTGATGTCAAAGGGGAATGTCTGCATGTGAATATTCAAAAAAAATGTTACCAATTATTTTAATATTTGAGATGAATTACAATCATTTTAAGGCTAATTAAGGCCTTATTTTTTGGATTGATAAATTCAATGACCTTTAAGACTTTTTAAGGATCTGCAGGAACCCTGGAAAAAAGTTGTATATTTTGAAACTCTCTTTAAATTTGTATTTGCAATAACCATATTGGATAGTTTTTGATCTTTATAAGTAAATAACCATGAATAAGACTTTAAAAATCACACAAAGTGATGTGTCAAGTARCTTTTTTTAGTCTTTCAGGGTTCATGTTTTCTTTAAGTTCAGAAAACAGAGGAATGAGGAACCAGGACAAGTAAGAAACAAAAAAGCAAACAAATAAAGTCATAATTTAAGCTCCGCCTAAATAAAWTGCACAATGAATGCACATCTAAACCTAACACAATATGTTGGGTAAAGATTTAAAGGACAATTTTAATCCCTCCCCCAAAAATTCCAAATAAAATAAATTTTTTAAAAACCTCATCTCATTTATCTTTTGTATTTTTAGAAAAGACAGAAATGTAAAAGATCTGCTGAGTATTCCCAAAATGTTAAAGCAATTAAACATGACCTAAAGATTTATAAGTAAGAAAGAAAACTATGTTACTAGCTAATAGTACTCATTTCAGGAAGCATTTTTAGAAATTGGGCTGATTTTTTGATTTTTTTTCTTTTCCTTTAAATCTTCTCTACGGCTCAAGAAACGCCATTTTCACAGCAGAAAATGTGATTCATCCAGATGTCGAGGACTGCAGGTGAGAATGGGTAAATAATGGAGGAGAATGTATGAGWGAAAAAACCTTACCCATGAACCCAAGGACAAGCAAGGGCTGGGGACAGGCTCTCCATTCTGAGGTTTTGTGCAGGAGGCAAAATGGCAGAGAGAAGGCGAGCATGAAAAAGTGGTTTAGGATGAAGGGATGAATATAGATGGGAAGAGGGTGAAAGAGGAAAAAGGTGGGTTTTTTTTTTCTGTCCGGAATCCAACTTCTACCTTTAAAGGGRCTGATTAAATGGTGACACTGGGGTTGTTAGAGAGGGTCAACGGGACATGAGGAAAATGAGGATCAACAGCAGCAGACAGACATATTGCTGAAAGAGATAAACAGTGACGGCAGAGTAAAGTTCAAGAGTTGGCATCAGAGCAGATCAAATCACGACATTTGAAGTTAAGCGCAAAAAGGCAGGCAGGCGGGGATGCACAGAAACACGTAACGCGAGGGTGTGAGGGAGCGCGCGGCACCACAAAAGCCCGGGTTAATGCACAATCAGAGGGAGTAGTTTTCATCTCATGAGTCTGGGGACTTTTCTGCAATAAAGAGATGAAAGCCACGGATCAAAKCAAGTTAAGTCAATACGCAATCAATCACTAAGTCCTGTTGTTCTGAAACAGATGGCATTTTCTCTGAAGCGTCATTTCAGAATAAACATCTATATAATGTCCTGATGCATCTCAGTAATCCAGGTAAAAAAATCAAAAAGACAAAAATTGTATAGGTCCTCTGGACGGGTTCTTCTATAATGAAACGTTTCGTCTCTCCTCCAAGAGACTTCTTCAGTCTGGGAGTTTCAGGCAAAATTCAGGCTTTTAAGCCCTGCCTCCATGTGACTGATACTCACATCACATGGCTATCGTTGACACCTAATTAACACTTATTGTTAACAGGGGGTGGAGTGATACTGGCAATGGCCGCGCTGTAGGAGGGGGACAATTGAATCATTGGTCATCTTTTACC